CTAGCGCAGATAGCCCTCGTGTAGCTTTGCGCGAAATTCCAAAACAAACAAACAAACCATAATATCTAAGTGAAGTGTTAGCGTCGTTAATACTATCGTGTCAAGAAATACTTATTATGCATTCAAGCTGGGATGTTTTACTACACTTTTTATCGGCAGCTCTTATGTGTACTTGGTATCTGGATTTATTTTTTTCGTGTATCTTTTTTTTTTTATATCTTGATACCAATGAACCAGCTACAAAACAATAACTTTGTTCTAATTATGATTGGGGTTCTTTAATAAGTAAATACGTATAAAATGTCAGTTGTAAGTACACGCAAAAATAAAATATATTCAACTTTTTTATAAATCATACTCAACTAAAAAAACTTGCATTCAAATGTTTCAATTACATTTAGCACATATTTAGTTTGACTTGCTTGGTTTAGCACAAAGCTGCACAGATTAATATCGGGCTTGAGGCCATATCTAATCCCAGAATTTAGTGTTATAAGCCTTGAAGCTCTTCGCTGAGCCACCAGTAACAGTGCAGTACTGGGCCATTCTCATATGCTTATGCTTGGGAAAAAGCGTACAGGAATGATAAACAAAGTAAGATGGACCACGTGTGGCTCAGTGTTTAGCGTGCCGGACTGTATATCTGAGGTTCCGTGGTTCGTGCCCCGTTACCGCAATATATATATAATATATATCACGCTCCGCAGTTTCGGGCCGTAGGTGCGTCATAAGAATGGCGGTCACATCTCCTAATTCGGTCTGACAAAAGAAACATAAGAAAGTTGGCAATAAGTGGCATTGCGCAAAATTCAACAAAGAAACAAAACTTATAGTACATTTTAAACAAAAGGATTGTTTGCGTGTAATCATTAACAGTGATTTTCGAAAATGAATTCTTAGCTATGAAAGGCTTAAGTTGACTATTGTTACTTTGACGTAAAATTCTGCAAACTATACTTAAAACACTCATTTTTACTTTCTCGATTTATGTAGTATTCTTAAGTTTATATACATATATGTTACATATCTGTAATTCTTATAAAATGTAATTCAAACGATTGTTTTTACTTTTAAGCTGACAATTAAGCTTAGAATGATCGGCATTCGAACCTTATCTTTCTTTAGAAGTTTAAATTTCCACAATTATATTTTTCTTTTGTATTTGAAATCGGGTATAAAGAATGGTATTTGGTATTTTTAACCTGAAAGACGTCTTGTGAGACGTATGGACGAACCGGTCAGGCACAGACCCCAAGTTTCAGACGTGGTCATCTCTAATTTAACACTGTTGACCTGAGGGAGGGCACCGAGTTAACTGCCCACGTGGGGGTGAACACGCTCCGTACTTTGAAACTGTGGGTGCGTTATACGAGTGACTCTAAAATCTATCTATACTGTCCGGCAAGAGTATCTCAAGAGTTGGCGGTGGGCGGTTGACAACCTGCTTTCTATCTACTTTATCACTTCAAAATTAGGAACAGCTAGTGCAAATAGGCCTCAAGTAGCTTTGCGCGTAGTTCATCAAACGAACTTAAATGAATAACGAGATATTTTCACAGTTATAACGCCCTCCCAATTGAAAGTGTGGAATACGTGTTCAGCGGCATATGACGGGGCAAACCATGGACTTTCTGTCTGCAGCTCAGCACTGTAACTAGCAAGCAACGCTCTGGTCATATAAATATGAAACACATAGGCTTAACATCGTAGAAATATGACAATTTCATAAAAACTTGATTGATTTTACTCTATATAAATGAATAATACTCATATATTTGGTTATGATCTTTTGAAATTAAGATTAATATTACAAGCATGCAGCCCATCAAATAACGTGAAAACTATGTTTATCGAAAAGTGTAACATTAATACATGTCATTTTCTTCTTATTTTTCCAGCCTCGCAGTAAAAAATCATGACGCGTCGTCCAGGATTAAAGACAACAAACAGCTAAGTTCACTAGACCAGTATTTCAAAGAAGATGGAGAACCTCCGTAAGTGATACATTTTAGATACATTGTTTGTCAACAACAACAAAAATTATTTACATCCATGTAATATTTTAAGTATGAAAATCAGAAGGAAACTTTTATTCAAAAGAGTTAACTTTCTGTGAGTATATGTAGTATTGTATCTGTCTAAAACATAAAAATCAACGAAGTAAAATTGTTGTAATCTCGTGTAGTTTGGTACCTACGGAAAATGTGAACATCAATACAGAGTTACTTTCGGTAATAACACATAATATTGTATTTGTAGGAATTATGAAAATCAAGTGCCCATTATCTTTAAAAAACGTGAAAACCAAAGCGTTACATATTGTAATCAGTTAATCTCGTAAATCCTTGCACCTACAGAAAACATGATAATCAACAGAGTTAATGTAACCACACGATGTTTAATATCCGTAGAAAACATAAAAACAACAGAGTAACTTGTTTATTGTTAACCTGGGTTAACGTGAAATCATCACCTGGTGAAACGTTATAACCATAGATACAACATTCTTACAATAAACAAGTCTTAAGTTACATAAGAAGGTACTTCCTTTAATTATTATAGAGTTACATAGTGTAATCACATAAATCTTTGCACCTATAGAAAACATGAAAACCCAACAGCGTGACTTATTTAGTTGTTAAATCCATTTCTTTATCAATAAAGAAAATGTGGCTTTATTACAAATCATGTGAAATGTTTCATTCACAGAAAACATTCAAATCAACAAAGTTAATTTTTGTAATAAAAATATAAAAAGGCGTCATTATATTATCATAAGGAATTGAAGCTTATGTAAGTTTGACAGTTTGCCTTTATATAATTAATTATAAACGGCTGCTGAACGGTATGGATTCTTATGCCTCTCTACAACAATATTTACGTCCTTTCCAGTTGATTAAAATCGTATACGTCTTGTATTATCTACATATATATATATATATATATACATAAATGTGTGTGTGTGTGTAATGTAAATATTTATATAACTAACCTCGCTGTCGTTTAGATGTTATTAATTGAAATGTTCGTAGTTTAACCTTAAACAACTTTGACCTGTAGTAGCTGTTCATTTTAACAAAGTGGATGGGTTCAGGAAGTAAACAAGGAAAAAGTGACAATTTATAATAAGTCGTTTTTAAAATTAATTAAAACTAGAAACTGCTCTTTTGTAATTCCTCTCTGGGATATTTTATAATTAAATTAGTTGTATTTCACCTTTATACTTTGGTGTATATTTCATACCACATAACATTTTACCCCTCGAGGCCTATATAAAAGACATATTTATCATGAGATTTTATATTGTTACGAAATTCTTAGGCGGCACTTTGGCGATTTTATCATCTTTTCTTTTTCGTTTTACAAAAATCATAAATACCGTAGTAATTAAACAAAAATCGTTCCTCTTATAATTCTTCTTGAAACACTTTGGAAACTTAATTAATTCAAACTTGCTTAGTGCTTTTTCAGTTCATTGTTTCTTTGTACTTTTCGACACTTTAACAAATTCGTAGTATTTTATTAACAGAGAAACAGTCCCAAAGTAATACCTTTTATTTCACCAATAAACATTATTATTTTTTAAACAAACTGCAAAATTAATCAATCTAAGCAAATTGGCTTCAAATTCAATTTGTCTTTTAGTTGTTCGAATGAATAAAATTTGACTTTTTAGTAAACAGATTTCACAAGACAAAATCCACAAACACATTCAGACCTTACTCTGCCATTATATGGTATACTTATAGAAATTGTTATCAAGCTAAATGTCAAATCGTGTAAAAAAACGAATGACGTATTTGATTAGAGTGATTTCAGTGAAACATGTAGTTATTTAACACATCTAGTTAAATTTACTGTTTATCAAATTTCATTGCATTCTATGATACTATACAAGTATATGTAAACTTGGCGCACTCTGTAAGCTAGTCACTTGGAAGTCGGAGTTGATGTACTGTTTGAGGGTTAATCACTTCCATCTGTGCTGTCTCCGCCGGCTCCTCCATGTTAAATGGCAAGACAGAGTTCCCGACACAGACGTTCTCAAACGTGCTGGTGTCCCTAATGTATACACGCTTCTCCAGAAAGCACAAGTCAGATGGGCCGGTCACTTCGTG